GTCTGCAGTATGGGTTACATCTCAATATAAAGAAAACAAAAATCCTCACAAACAGGTCCTATAAGCAGCATTACGACAAATGGAGAAAACACTGAAGTTGTCAAAGATTTCACATTACTTGGTTCTATAATTGATGCCAGTGGAAGCAGCAGTTAGGACATCAGATGATATATAGCACTGGGAAAATTGGCTACAAAGGACCTCTTTCAAGTGCTGAAGAGCAAAGATGTCTCCTTGAGGACTAAGGTGTGCCTGACACAAGCCATGGTATTTTCAGTCCCGTCATATGCATGTGAGAGCTGGACAACGAATAAGGAAAACTGAAGGAGAATGGATGCTTTTGAGCTGTAGTGTTGACGAAGAACGCTGAAGGTCCCATGGACTGCTAAAAGAACAGATCTGTCCTGAAGGAAGTGCAGCCAGAATGCTCCTTGGAGGCGAGAATGGCCAGACTTCATCTCATCTACTTTGGTCATGTTGTCAGAAGTGACCATTTCCTGGAGAAAGGTGTCATGCTTGGTAAGGTAGAGGGTCAATGAAAGAGGGGAAGGCCCTCAACGAGATGGATTGACACAGTGGCAGCAGCGATGGGCTCAAGTATAGCAAGAATTATGGAGCTGGCTCAGGACCGGGAGGTGTTTCGTTCTGCTGTGCGTAGGCTTGCTAAGAGTCGGAGACAACTCAATGGCAACTAACTAAAGCGTAACAGTTGTTCCTGTGACAGATTAATATTGAGAGATTTGTCTTCAGTTTGACAAATTCTGTCTTCTGTTGATTTAATTTTACTCCTTTGCCTCATAATATGTTATCTCTTTCTGAAATCTTAATATTAATTTTCTGGGTTTCTATTTGCTGTTTCCATATGTTTTCTAATTTTCCATTTATCATCTCAATTTGTTCTTGTATCTTTTTCCTGTATTCTTCTAGAGTTTTGTCTGTGATGTCCTTAATTTTGTCTATTTTTTCCTTGGTTTCCCTCTCAATCCCTTGAAGGGACATAAATGTAATCAGTAGTTCCAATATCATTTTTCCTCAGGAAGGTTTTTTCACTTGTTTGAACCACCCTGTCTTGTTTGTTTGAACTCAGGTGGTCTTTTTTTCTGAGACACTATAGCATTGTAGCTTTTATATTTAATTGGTGCTTGTATGCTGGTGTCTTTTGCCCAGGTTTTTTGTTTTATTTTCTTTTTATATATCTGGTCAAGTGAGAACGACGTGTTACTCTGCTCACTAGTT